TTTCGCCCTAGAGCCAAATCTCAAAATGGTTTTCAAAGTTTTCAAAAGTTATGAAAAACCCCAATTCTTCCTCAAACTCATGGGTTCTTGCATTAAATGGTTTCAAACAATCTATTATGATTATATTATGGTTTAATTGATGTTTTTAGGTGAAAAACTCATGGACCCATGATCTCCCTAAATCTCTAAGTTTGGCTTATGAAGTGGGTTTTATGATAATGCTTGGGTATTGATGGAATTTTACTTAGATTGAATTGTATTATTGATTCCTATTGTTATCTATATCTATTGTTGGTGGATTGTTGGTGTATGGATGAGTTGAGAATTATGGCCTTATAGGCAAGTCATGGGTAAATTCTCTTGTGATGTTAGAATTGTTGAGAATTGGATAATGGTGATTTTGGCTTTGGAGAATGGTAAGTTGACCTACTTTCATGCTATATTGAAATTGTTCTTGTTTGGATTGATCCACTTATGGTGGAGGTGTGTACTTATTGAATGTGTATTGATTATGGCCTTGAAGGCATTATATAGTGAATTGAAGTATTGTCTTAAGGTGTGTCTACATGTGTGTGCAATATGAGGGTTATGTACGTGGTGTTCAAGCATAACATGATGGTATATTATATAATGTGTATATATTGTGATTGAAAGTATGTTGTCTCTTAATGTTTGTATGTGATGATGATGGACTATGAAAGGTCTTTATATGGTAGCGTTGTCTCTTGAATTGGTAGACCTAGATTGGTAACCTCTCTTTAAATGAATGAATGAATGTCTAGGATCGGTAGACTTAAAAGTTGGTGCCCTTCTATAAATGACTAATGAGGTACTCTAGGCTATGACTTGAATTGGTTAGACCTAAGCATGGTGCCCCTTCATGATGAGTCTAGGACCCTATCTAAATGTAAAGCCTTGAAGGGGTAAACCTAAGGGTGATGACCTCCTTTTTGTGTGAAATGATAGACTTAGAGTTGGTGGACCGGAACGGTAGAAAACCCTCTCTAAGAAAGTCAATGAGCTACCCTTTATGAACCTTGATCGGTAGATCCTTGTGGTGCCCTTCTTGGTAGAGTGTTATGGGTTGGTAGGCCCAATGATGGCGCCCTCTCTAGTACTCACATGTGAATGAAATTACTCTATTGGAAATAAGGCTAAGCACCGAGTGGATATGGTTAAGATGGTGGCTCTCTCCGAGTGTGAGGTTAAAGTACAATGAACGTCTTTGGAAATCCCCTAAACCATGTGCCTACATGGGTTGTTTACTAGTTCTACCCTTGGCAAGTAGAACACCTTCCTCGGTGTGGGGTCTTATGACACCAGATTCCATGGCTAGCTAGTGTGGTCTATGTCGGTTAATGCCCATTCCCATCATGTGGGATGTGAACTCTAGTTACTTGATAGGTTTTATAACGTGTAGGTAGTAGTATGAAATGTTATCTACACATGGCACAAGTAGGCCTTGAAGGTACTAAAGTGAGTTCCCTAAGTCTTTAATGACTATTATGTGAAGTCCCCTATATGCATGAATGTCTCCTTAAATGTCTCTAATAACGAATGTTGACTTATTGGTTTATGTTGAAAGGGATAGGTCCTTATCTTTGGTAGTCTTGAGGAACACTTAGGTGTGTGTGAAGAGGTTGTATGGACGGCCCCTTCATGTCTTACTTAGGTGGGTCTTAGGATAACCTTAGATGGAGGGTCTTAGATGTTGAAATGGTTTACTTGATAAATATGGTTATGTCTTGTAGTTTGGTATTAGTTGAGCATGTATATTATGGGAGTATTATCTTGTATGTGGATGGTGACTTGTAATATGTCTCTTATACTTGTATTATGAAGTTTTATAAAAAATAGCATGAAAAGCATATACCTTAGATAAATGACCCTTTTTGCATGTTTTTGCATAGTCATTATACTTAGTACTTAATTGTGCTAACTCCATCATTTTCCTATGTTTTACTATGTTGGCAAGTGAGGTGCTTTCCATAGTGAAGCTTGGGATTAAAGTTTCTCTCAAGACTTTGGTATGTCTTTATATGTCGAGGACAAGGATTTTATATTTTACTTTCTTTTATTAAGACATTTGTAATAGACTTGTAGTTTCTGTCAAATGTAAAGGGGCGTGCCCCTAGTATGTTTCTTGGAGTTTTGGGTCTAAGTTGGCCATGTGAGACTAGTATTCCGCTTGTGCATAAAGACTTCTTTAAAATGTTGTTGACTTTAAAGTTTTATGAGTTTGTTTTAAAAAGGTTTTATTTCCGCACTATCTTTATTGCCTATGTGATGTATGAATGTTAAGGGCTTGTATAAGACCTCTTCGAGGTCGAATACGTCGTGGCGTGACTTGGAGGTGCTCTCGGGTCGTGACATTGTCCCGCCATAGCGGGTCAGATGTCGCTAGGGCGGCGGCGCTAGGGCGGGGTAAGCTGGCGTCAGGGCGGGATAGGTGAGGCAGAACGTAAATTACGAGAAATCCTATTTTCTTCATCTTTCTAAAATACCTAAATAAGTCGTAAAACACCCTAGAAACCTCAGAAAAACTGTTCTAAGGTTGGGAAGAAGGGAGATAGAGATTTCTAGCGTGAAGATGTCGATGGATTGTGAATTTCCGATCAAGATCACCGTCACGAGTTCCGAAAACAAGAATCAAAGACCAAAACTCCGTGTAACTACTTTGCTCCCAGGTAGGATAGATTTTGTGAATTGAGTAGTTTAAATTTGTGCTTACTGTGTAATATATGTGAATTGATGGTAAGATTTATGCGTAGGTCTTCGTGCATCGAATGATTATTGATTTAAACCCTAGAAAGAAGCCTTAGACGATGAATTAGGGATGAGTATGGTCGAATTAGGGTTCATGATGTGCGTGATGAGTAAATCCATTGTAGGTGATGGTTGTGATTCTATGATTGTGTGATGTATGTTTGTTCTTGTTTCATTATGATACATGTATGTATATGAACGTTGCATTATTGATCACACTTGTTGTAATGAGGTAGATGAATGAGGGATTCCATGAATCATGACTTAATTGTATGATCTTGAGGATATACTTGTGATTGTGATTGTGGTGTGATGAATGGATCGGTTGCCACATTTCGGCATAACTAACTTGGATCGGTTGCCACGTTCCGGCATAATTATGGGATCGATTGTCACATTTCGGCATAAACCTTGGATCGGATACCACGTTCCGGTATGCTAACTGTTTGGGTTTGGATTTCATGAGAGGACCAATGATTTGCATAATTGTGTAGCTGGAGAACTATAAAGATATTCGTTGTTCGTAAATGTTGATAATATGTATATGTTCGATATATGCATGAGATTATATTGTTGTTGACTTATGTATGTTGCACTTAGTGGGTATAGGTTATGACGACTTATATTTGATTGTTTTTTGTGTTAAGCGAACTTGTTGGGTATAGTGGAAGGGTAAAGTGTTCAAGGGGCGAGTAATATATAGCAAGTGTTGTTCGTGTGTCGTAATGGCGAGAAGTAGAGGTAGTGTAGGTGAGGAATTGTGCTTAGGTGGATTTCACCTTGGGGAAAGAGATTTGGGTTTAGTGGTAAAGAAGTTTGATGTAGTGTACTATGTCACCATGGTTGAGTAATGTGACGGGAAGTAAGGGTGCGACGTGAGCGGTTAGTTGAGTTAGAGCGTGGTGATTAATTGGGGATTTGTTAATGTGTTAGAAGGTTAGGCCATGATTAAAGTAACCGGTAGGTAAGTTGGTTGAGAAGTGGTTAGTAGCCAGAATACTAGTGTAAATTGGAGGTATTTTAAGAGAGGGTAATGGTGGAGAAGCGAGTGGTTTATTGTATATTTCTTTTAGTCGATTTCATATGTTATGTGGGTGGGCGTCGGGTTGACCGATGATGCCTACTAGTACGTGTGTTTGTACTGATACTACTCTTGCTATGCCTTTTGACATAGTCTGGATGCAAGATTGGTGACGTTTCATTAGGTGAAGACGAAGAAATTCTCCAGCAACTTCTATTTTTCTTCCGCATGGTGGACGCTGTGTCTTTTATTTATCTTGTCCAGTTGTACTCTTAGTAGCTCTTGTACCTGTTTAGACCAGATTTATGAGAGTTGTTAAAATTATTTTACAAGTTTTAACTGAAAAGTGTTCTCTAAGGATATTAATTATAAAATCATACTACTATACTTATTCCTGTTTTCTTTAAATTTTCCGCATGTTTAACTATTAGGATATGAGGGTTCTTCTACTTAGGTGTTAGAATGGATGTCCGCGCGGCCCAGTGGGTTGGGTCGTGACACCTAATTTTGTTTTTCTTTTCTTTCATATTTTTTCTCACACTCCTCTCTTCATTACGTTAATGACTCAAGTGAAACCAATAATTTCTTGATCACGATCAACTAAGGCTAATGGATTGTATTGGAATGAAAGTACACTAGTCCCCCACTCAATTTTAATTTGCACTTTTTCAAATACTTCTGGACTTTATCTCACTCTAGATTGGTCATTTTAACTTCTTCCTTTTTCCAATCCTCCAAATTTTTTAACATTCCAAATTTTTCATTTGAAATATCCTACAGTAAATATATATTAAGCTGAAGATAATTTGTTAGCAAGCTAAACAAACAACATGCTTAGCTTACTTTTTATCTTTGCCTTCTTTAAAGAGGCAAACGATGCCGTCCACCTTTTTTCATAAAAGCATTTGCATTATTACTTTCCAATAAGATTGAGTCACTATGAAGCATTCATGTCAACCGCTTTAATTGAAACATAGAAATTAATCAAACTCATATTTAAACGAAAGTTGGCGGCCAGATAAAACATGACACAAACAAATTGAAAATAAAATTAAAAAAAAATTACATTCTTTATTGTATTTTGTATACGAAAAATACATACATAAAATCTTTTTGATACAGCTTTATTTTGGAGTATATATAGGCCATTGAAATAAAAAATTAAATAATTAGTATTTATAACAAATTAGGTAAATAGAAGTACTATAATTAATTAATCTTGGTGAAGAGCATCCTTAAGAAAATAGAGGGAGCTAATATGATCATCAATGACTGATGATGTTATTGTCATTGGAGTAAATCCTTGGTAATCTCCTTCTGATTTTGCTAAACATAAATCTCTAATGTACTTTGAAAGACCATCTTTTTGAATTAAAGGTTGATTAGCATACTCTTCGAATGCCATCCACTGCAAACAAAAATAATAATTAATAATGTTACTACATGTAGGGAAGATTTTTTTAAGAGTTAAAATGGGTTAACAACATACGTTAAGTATTCTAATTTTTTGAGTTTCATACCTAAATTATCAGTGTGTGAATTTTCTACATGAACTATATATCAGTTGTTCACTTTTTCTACTTGAACAATAGTGATATATATTTCAGGTAGAAAAAGTGAATAACTCAAAACTCAAAAAATATTCGGTGATGGTAAAATATGAAACTCTCACATATGATAGTTCAGATATAAAAATTCTTTAAATGTATTTTTAATCCGTCACTATAAGTAAATTTTAACATGCAATAGCAGATTACCTGAGCGGCCTCAATTTCTAAGTCTTGCTTTTGGATGTGAAATGATAATGGACGCATCATGCAAAGGAAGAATAAGTCTGACTTGTTAAAAAATGACTTGGGTATTTGCCTGCATAAAAATGAAATTTCCATGAAAAAATAATTAATTAACATGACTCAAAAAATTCATATATTGACCACATGATTCTATAGTATAAATTAATGTCAAGAATTCCCTGTATCACAATATTCAAATGCCAATTATAATTGTTCTAATTTTGATTTCTTCCAACTCATTGTCTTTTTTGGGTCATTGTCAATGTCTCCTATTTAGCCAGCACAAAGTTTCCCAAATGTTAGATGTATTTAAAAGTTAGTATTTCCTTCGGACAATTTTACTTGTTATATTTTTGGTTCACACACACACACACATATATATATATATATATATATATATATATATATATATGTTTGATTATTATATTTTTATTTATTATTTTTAATAATTTAAAATATTAATCTCTATTTAATAAATTTAATCTGACCTCTTTAATAAATAAAAAAAGAGTTAATTTAAACAACCTCAATATTGGAGTATATGTATGTGTTTTTCACTTAAATTAGGATAATTAGTCAAATGTTTATTAAATTTCAAGAATATTTATTACTACGGACAAAATATAAAGAATATTGAATATCTTAATTTTTTTTTAAAAATGACAATTATTTTGAATCATCTATTTTTAGTATGGCCGACAAGTAAAATGGCCGGAGGGGAGTAAAATCTTTTTGTGTACACAATGAAAATTGAAAGGTCGACCTGACTCATTGAATCTTATTTTTTTGACTTGTTAGTAATTAAATTTCAATATTTGATCATGACTCAATAATATTCTTTTTGACTTTTTCTTAAAATATGAAAAGTTAAATCTTTTTAGTCTTAGCCATGACAAATATTATTTCTCCTTAATTTTCAAAATAGTCTTGTGGCAAAAGTTTCCTACCTGAATGCAAGCACTTCCATAAATTCCGTGTCAATCTGGAATTTAATATAAGAGAAAAAAAATAATCACAAATAAGTAACATAAAAAATATAATGGAATATTTTTAGTGTATAGATTTACATAATTAAAATTCATTAATTATATAAATGTGTTTATACTTACTCCAGTTTCTTCTTTTAGCTCCCTTATTGCACCTTCAAATATACTCTCACCCTGAAAATGTATCAAGATCGAAAAGCGTCTCAACATACAATACGTGACAAATAGAAAAATGTAATCGAAAAATAGCTTATGTTAGATAAAAAGAAAAATGTAATCAAAGAAGAAAGTTAGTTTTTTACACCTCGAAGTCATCTTATAGAGATACTGCCATATATTATTTAGGAAAATTAATTAAATAAAAGATAATTGTCTTTAGAATACAAGAAAGCCACTTTGATACATGCAATTTTTCCTTAGCTATTTTACGAAGGAAGGCCTAATTTATAGAGTTAGGAAGTGATATCGCTATTTTTAATTAATATATAATCATTTTAATTCATGAACAAACATGTTTATTTAAGTTCGAAGTTTTAAATAAAATCTGAAAATACTAAGACTTTTAATTAATATATTAGGCCTTCAAATTCATTTCACCTTTCGTTATGAGACAATCCCACTCCTTATATATTATTCTTCGTTTCAATTTATTTGAAATACTTTTCTTCTTAGTTTTTTTTTTAAAATGACTCCTTTTTTAGAAACTTTTTTATTTTAACTTTCTACGTGACATGTTTAATATCACCAAATTAAATGACATTCTGAAACATTTGATATACCTTTAATTTAAAATTACAAGATTTGAAAAAATCTTTTTTATTTTTTTAAACACCATATCAAGTTAAAATAGATCAAACAGATTGAAGCGGATAAGAGTGAAAATTATCTAATAGATTCAATTAAAAAACGAATATACCTCCTCAAGAGTACCGGTAGGGATCTTCCATATACCACTTCCTTTTAATCTGCCAATATTCTCTTGCACAACAAGCAACTGAAAACAACAATTATATACTTTTCTCATGTAAATAGTCGTCAAATTATGCATGCAAATAGAAAGTAATTGCCATGTATTTCTGTGTTTTATTTTATATGATTTTTTTAAATTATAATATTTTATGAAAAGGGTTCGAAATATATTTGAACTTTGACAGAAATTGTTGTAATAATTTCAAACTTTGGACAAGACCTATTACCCTATGCACTATTTGATAGTGTATTTTAAAGATATATAAGAGTCCACGCGGACATCATAAATATTGAATTAATATTATAAATAGTGTAGGGGGTAATAGGTCATGCCCAAAATTTGGGATTGTTACAACAATTTTGATCAAAGTCTAGATATATGTCAGACCTATTACCGAAATTACTGTAACAATGTCTTTAAAAAGTTTGATTGGACATGAAATTCAAAAAGATTTTTTTAAAAAATTATGGTTTATAACAAATTAGAGACATTTATGATGATTAGAAATTGTCTCATTAAAAGTAAAATAAGATATTATGACAAGTATATATTTTTAAAATAATTTAATTAAAAAAAAGTATGACACATAAATTAGCACGAACCTCTCTTTTGTGATTGAGGACAATAGCACCAATGCTGACTTTGTGTGAGGCATTTGCAGGTATAGTACTCTCACTATCAGCAATCCAATGCACAAGCATCAAGTAATCAGGTTCTGCATGATGGTACCGAAACCCTTCCTGTTCACATTTCACAATTAATTTTAATTTTTGTTCAAAAATGTATTGTTGCACCCGTGTCGAATCACCAACAGAGGCGAAATCAAGAATTTCATAAAGGATGTCCAGAAATATACAATAAAAACTCTTTTCAAAAAGTAGAATTAGTGAGATTCAAACACACGAGCACTACCTCATTCCAAGCATCAGAAACCATTGGGCTACAACAGCTTGTTGTGTTAAGAGTGTTCAAATTATGTGATTTAATCATTTCATGTATCATTTTACTTGTATATACGATATTTTTTTCCGAATAAGACTGTCCAATTGGACACCTTACCACCATGTAGTTACGCCACTGATCACCAATAAAAACGCATCCATATAATAAATAATGGATTTAGCCGCAGTTATTCAACAACAATAATATAATTGTATTTAGCAGCAATAATAAATATGAGCATTTATAATAACCATCACTCTATATAAATGCAGCTAAAAACTTTAGCGACTCTAAATGCAATGACATCAACTCAATTGCCGCAACGTGTAAATTTTTTTGTTGTGATTATTTTGGAGGATCCATTAACCCGGCCCGTTAAACAAACACCATGATAAAATAAGTACATATACTGAAGAAATTAATTAATTACCTTAACTGCAATCTCAACCAAATTTGCAAGTTCAATAGGGATTTTAATCCATACACCCTTCTTTCCCTGCAAAATAAAATAAATATAGTAATTATTAAGTATTACTACTAATAACTAACTAAGACAAATTAATCAACAAATAATTTCTACATAACTAATACCTGCATCTTCCACTTTGTTATCGAATGTTTAAGCATGTCATGAAAGACATTAGGTTCCATAGGACTCTCAACTTGCACAATTACACCTCCATGTTCATCGTTAATCGCCGGAAGAAGCTCATGAATCTTATTAACACCATTGATTTGGACCAACATTTTCTCCATAAAGATGGATATCAATTATATGATAAATTAGGTTAATGAAATGAATTAGTAGAATGTGAGAAATGAAAGAAGGTAATTAAGCTATGAATTAAAAGAATGTGTGATAAATGAAAGAAGGTAGGTATTTATTGAATAATTATATGATCAATTAGGTTAATGAATGAATTAGTAGAATGTGAGAAATGAAAGAAGGTAATTAAGCTATGAATTAAAAGAATGTGTGATAAATGAAAGAAGGGAGGTATTTATATATAATAAAGTGATGCATGGGGGCAAGTAGTTTTAAACAGGGTCCTTGGAGAAAGTAGTACGTATAATTGGTGTGGTAGCGTGTAATAGGGTCCATTTTGACCATAACTTAACTTTGTTGATTTCTTCTTCTAGGTTATACGTGATGATGGGGGCCACCTTACATGAAACCACTGGGCTACAACACTTTGTTGTGTTAAGGGTGTCCAAAATATGTTATTTAATTATTTTGTGTATTATTTTACTTGTATATATGATATTTTTTTTCCTACGAAGGGTGTCCAATTGGACACGTTGACAACCATGTAGCTACGCCACTGCTTGAGGTGAGTGCATGAATACCTCAACCACTAAGTCAACCTCTAATTTTACATTCAGGGGGTTTAAAATTAATATATAGACATAAAAATTCTTTAAAATACCTTATATACAATGTGATTTTTTGCCGAATAGGTTCGGGTGAACCCAGAGGCAGACTTATGATTTGAAGACTTCGGGTGCACCAATATTATTTTAGCTCTAAGATAAACTTAAAAAATAAAAATAATAAAATAGCATTGTAGCTAGATTCAAACCTATGTCTCATGCGTGGTTCTTCTAGTTTGTACCAACAAAGACAATGACAAATGTATACTTCTCATGGGTGCACGGTTAATTATATTCTAATTTATGTCAGTTTCTCAAGATAGATATACACCTATACACATGATTTTTTTCAAAGTTAATGGGTGCACATGAACCCCCGCCCTATAGGGTGGGTCCGCCTCTGGGTGAACCCCCTCGACTACCTCTAGGTTCGCCCCTGATTGGCCTACAATTTTTTTGTACAACTATATGGTATTACGAACCTACTAATTAATTACCAATGCATCCTTATCCAATGGGAAATCACATTATCTAAATAGGTGAATAAATATTAACAAATTTAGAATGTGCCAAAAAAGCTTAACAAATTTAGAATATGCATAGATTTTAAAGATCTAACCATAGCATGCATGTTCGGAAGGACTAGGTTTTTGGTATCGATCGAATAATTGATTCTTAGGCCATCAACACTCAATTTTCAATGCACAATTCAATTACTCACTTTATTGTTTTAATATTCATTTATCTTTCCTTTTATGTGATTTATTTAATTCAATATCATTACATTGCAAGATCAATTTAACTCACATAATTAATCTTAAATTATTTTCATAAATTTATTATGGATGAACAATAAGTTTTTTTTTTTTAAAAACTACCTTACATCGATATGTATGTTTTCAACCTTGCCTAAATACGAACCAAACCATATATTGTTACTTTTTCAAATTAAAACCCAAATCAAACTCTAAAAAATATGTCGACTTTTAAAGTCGTTTAAATTAAACTTTCCATTTTTCTTGAAACCCAAGAAAATTTAAATTAGACCCCATTTTCATTTGTTTAAAATTTAAAACTCATTTCCAGCCAAAAATAATACTCGTAATAAGGGAAAAAGGACAAATATACCCCGAACTATCGTAAATGGTATGCAGATACCTCCGTCATACTTTTGGGACATTGTGCCCCTGCTGTCCAAAAACTAGAGCATATATACCCTTTATACTAACGGACATACATGTGTCATAATCTTATCCATCGACCCGACATTTATTAAATATTGGATCAACGGATAAGATTGCGCCACGTGTCCCTGTTTAGTCTTCCGTTAGAGTGAAGGGCATATATGCTCTAGTTTTTGGATGGCAGAGGCACCAATGTCCCAAAAAAGTGACGGAGGGTATCTGTATACTATTTACGATAGTTTGGGAATATATTTGTCCTTTTTTCCTAGTAATAATTAATATGACATGCAGATTTGTGTGTGTTTGGCAGCTTATACTAAACACCCTAAACGACTTGAATATTTGAGCGTGGTTTTAATTTCTATTTTCTAGTCAAGGGTCATTATTCGTTGGTCGAAAAATATTATGATTACTAAGTCCAAATTAATAACAGATCCATAGACCAATAGTATAGAATATATATATATATATCAACTAGTAAAATTTGTCAAAGTAATTACTAATTACATTTTCAAAGAAAAAGAAGAAAATTGACTCTAAACTCCAAATTTTGCTTTGACTCTACGTGGGAGAAGACGTTTTTCTTAAGTTTAAACTATAATAGTCTCTAATCTAATATAATATACTAATAATATAATTGCATGAACATTATTTAATATAATATTATTCGTGTTATTATGATTTATGTTCACACTGTTACAGTAAATACATATACTTTTACTCATTCATCATATCAATTTGTATGTTTTAAAAGTCTAAAATAGTCTCAATGAATCAGATCTGTGAGAGAGACTTATTCTTATTTAAATTTTTTTAAAGACACTTTCTGAAAAAGAAAAAATAAATTGTGCTCCATATTCTTTTTCTTCAAAAAATATTCAAGCTCCTCTCATTCTCAAACTTTATTAGTTATCCAAATTATTTCCTTTAAATTTTTAATTTTTTGTTTTTGTTACCTTTTTTCTTTCTTTCAAGAATTGATCAAATTTATTGTAAAAGTTTTATTGGATTAAAATACAAAACAATTTCATAAATGTGTTGTTAAAATTGGGCGATGATGTCTTTATAAATATATTCAGATGTATAAAAACAAACAGTCCTAATCATTGAATGTTCGGATCTACAGACAAGATCTTAATCATTCAGATATGCATTCAGATTTAGACGTCTTAATCTTAATGAAAATAAATGAGGCCTAAGTGGTGCACACTCCTTAAAAAAATTACTCATTTCTAGAAAGTAAAAGATATTTTATTCTTAATAAATATATTTATATATTACTCCATTCGTCCATCTTTATTTGTCAATGTTTGATCTTGACACACTCTTTAAGAAATAATAAATAAAGGGATAATTTACTATAACACCCCATTGATTAGAAGTCATCCAAATATTGAAAAATGAACAACAAGTAGTTGATAACAAGAGTAAAATAGACACAAAATGATAAATTATTCATTGATTTTATAAACTAGATAAGTATGTCTGGGCATCCCAAATAGTATAAGTGGACAAGTAAAGATGAACGTATGAATATATTATATTAAAGAGAAACTTACTGATATTTCACTAGTTTGCTAATTATTTAGATATAGTCTAGTTTGTAATATTATAAAATCTTACCAGATTTTGATGCATCTAGATACATGTATCTTGAGAGATATGAAGTCAAAATTAGGAGTAATTTGTTCTAGATACATTGCATTCAAGAGGGGATACATATATAATTACAAATCTCGCTCGCCTCCCTCCCATCTCGATCACCACTCTCCTATATATCTGATATTCCAGATACATACAAATCAAAACCAAGATCATGCATGAAATATCACCATATGTGGCCAAACACTGAATTGCCAAGGAATGGTGTTACACTCTCCTTTCCAATTACTCATGTTGTATAGTATTATTTTAGATATAATTTTCAAACAATGTGTTCTTACTTGTCAATAATTATTTCCAAGTATATTACTATCTTTTAAAAATGTCTTAATTATTATTGCATGTACTTTTACTTTGATTTTTCGTTTTGAATAATATAATTTTGAAATTAGTTGAGCCTTCATATTAATTAGTCACTGAAAAGAGATACAAAAATGAAATATTTTAAAAATCTGAAATCAATAGATAGAATACAAAGTAGAGATATTTTTATATTCTACATATTGGAAGAGGTATGATCATGTTTAATTACCTCAATATTATGATTTTTGATAGAAAAAAATAAACATAAGCAAACAGTTGAATGCACTTTTCTTGATAATATAGTTATTATAAAAGGTTAAAAACTTTATCTTTTTTTACCCTTCGGGTGGCCCAGTGGTAATTTGGGCTGGAGACTTTTATGTTGGTGGTCTCAAGTTCAAAATCCCTTGCCAACAAAAGCAAGTGGTTTGCCTTCTGGATCGAGTTCGTCGTACCGAACTTGCCTAATGTGGGTTACCTCTTCTGTGTGATTTACGAGTTATTGATAGGAGCGAAAAAAGGTTAAAAACTTACGATAACAACAAATAACATACTCAATACGATTCCTTAAATGACATCTGAGAAAATGATTTATACACAATCTTACCCCTATTTTGAAAATTTTACATACACTTCTAAATAATTTAAATATCAAACTTATATAAAGTTAAATAAAAACACAAATAAAGTAGTATGTGATTTTCTAATACGCAGTGCCATTAAATTTCAATACGTTCTCGGACTAATCTTATTTTGTGAAATTTTGCACAACTGTTGATTGACGTTAGAAAAAATTATGAAATTTCATATAAATTTATGGTGATTTTCAATGGATTAATTGTGTTGATTGCTTATGCTGTAATGATTTCTGACGTATGCAAATTTAAATATAAAGTTATTTTGGTAATTGTATAGAGATTATTCAGTTTTTTCATCTATTGCATGATATTATATTTAAATTTTGGTATGTATACTATAAGTTTAAGGTGAACAATATTAGATTAGATAGAGAAAAGTGCAAATGAGGTGTGCACCTTATAATTAGTGAAGAAAGGCACATATACGATACATTTCATTTAATGTTTACCTCATAAGTGAAAAATAGAAGTATAAAAAAAATACGTATCTATAAGACTACAATTATTTATCTTCATAGATTCAAATGAAATTCAATCATCTTGACATCGACAAATAAGTCACTCGTGCAACGATCTACATTGATTATTTGTAGAAACTTGTTCTTTATTCATTCATTATATTTATTTACTCAAAACTTATTTTAATAAGATGGTATATATTATTTACAAAATGGCATAACTTAATGTACACGTACGTGATGTGAGACTAGTTTATATTACTTTAAAAGGATGAACCCCTAAACTTAAAAATTTAAATTATTAAAATACCTATAACGATCCATCCATAGTACATTTGTTAAGAGTATCCATAGTGTAATTGAGCTAATAGGAACTCAAAGATGGCACGCTGTTTGTAATTGAAGAGACACCCATAAAGACAAGGGAGGCTCAGAACTCACCTTGGAGTCATTTGAGATGTTTCAGACCTCAGATTCTCGTGGACGAGAGCAAACAGCGTGCCGCCTCTGCATCTCATCTTTCAGAAACTGGGCACTACAATGCAGCCATATAAAATGATATTTCATCTTGTTGCGCTATGCTTATAACTTGTATCAGTGGTTGCTGTACCGTATAATGATGGCCTGAAGACTGAATTGTTGCATACAAGGCTTTGAATGACCGACCTGAAATTATTGAAGGAAAAAGTTATAGCTTAGGCATGTTGAAGACATAATTTAAGTGTGTTTTCTCTAACAGCTTAATTACTACTTTTAGAGGTCCTGGGTTCAAGTTTCTCTCTTACAAGTAACACCTTGAGTTTTATGAGTTGGTCATACAATTCAACAATGCATTTATTTGACACAAACAATGCTTTACAGAAGAAGTAAGTCAATCAGGAGTTCATGAATATTAAACTGATGACCCACTCTACCTGTGACAAGAGACGGTCTGGACTCTCATGCTGAAAGGAAAGGCATAAAAGCAAGTTATCTGTCAAAAAGAGCCCCCTGTACTAAAGATGCTTTTTGACGACATACTAGAAATTTGTGAAAACTGGAACATGCTCCTCATTCTCGATTTATTGAGACCTAACCAGGCGAGCTGCAAAGGCTCCATCAAGTTCATGCTTCACAGGATTAGACATATAGAAACCTCGGTTAGTAACAAAATTCTCAGGTACATATTTGTTCACAGGATCAATGTAAAATTCCTGCAAGGAAAATGATGGTAATAATCAGACCAATGTGCAGGTATAGAAACTAGACTAGAAGATAATTTATCTCCAAGCCAGAGAGAAAACGTGGGACGATTCATCTGGACAGGAGAATATCAGGATAAGACGCCTAAATTATGAAAGAAAATATATATATGGAAGCAAAATGCTAGAGTACGGTTGACGCTAGCAGTTTCTTAGATATTTCAGACACGTCAGCTTCTTCACTTTCACTTTTTTCCTCAATATTTCGTCTGTTTTCCATTGGGTGAAAGTTATTTAACAAATATAGACATGTTTTTTATATAAAGCATATAGTCCCATTCACCACAGCCTCAACAGGAAGCAAGTCCTCACTTCTTAATGCCTGACATGGTTATTTAGCATAATATATATGCTGCAGCTGATTTTTATGAAAGAAGCAACTTTAAAACTTAAAGACGGAGCAATTAGCATGCTTCAATCAAGTTTCTTACTGGATGCCTCAAGAGAAAAGCTTCAATTCTTTCCTCATTCTCTTCAGGGTCAATGGAACATGTGCTGTATATTAGCACTCCACCTGGCTTCACCAACCTGCAGATGCAGAAAAAACACATAAGGAGAAAGGAAACAAAGAACAGAACCTCATATGTTCATGTGTAAATATAGTAGCTCAAACATAATGCATATAACCTAGAGGCATTTCAGACTGAAGTACATGTAATTGCAGTCAAAAATTTAACCAGCCTTGACTTAATAAAACGGGCAAATTGAGTTATAACTAATACCAACCCAGAGTATTCATCTCATTTTCCAACTCTCTTTTCCTCAGTAGGAGAAATCTTTATAAAGATATGCGCCTTGTTTTTATCCACTTCAGAACTTGCATTATCCTCACCAGTCACCAACATTACTAGGAAAAAGCTACTCAATATATTTCTAAAAGATGAAATTCACTAGCAACAATAATTCAGGTCAAGGTTACACTTAAATTATGAATTAAGAAGAACTATTGGTTTTACCTGGAAGCTGAATCGAGAAGCTCATCCTGTAAATGTTTAAGTTGCTCCATGTCTTCCAGTCTCCTATTCCAACGCAAATCTGCTCGCTTTCTCAAAACAAAGAGGAAATTCACATTTCAAATGTCCCAGCTATACTACCACTTCTGGCTTAAAGAAGGATGAACCATAGAAGCAACTAGCAAGAATAGTGAATGTGACAAAAGAAGAAAGAGGAATAAAGAACCAAAACTTTTAGACCATGCAAGCTTATATCAAACTATAAAATTGTATACATCTTTGAATGGAAATACCTTTGAAAGAACACCAAGTCCTGAACAAGGTGCATCCAGTAAAACTTTATCCCATTCTACGACTTTATCCGTCTGTTAAAAGTTAAACCAGGGATTAGCAGATGGACAATAAAATACCATGTGTTTTTTTTAGAACTTACAAGTTCTTACAGAAAAAGTTCGAAGATCAGAATGGATAGTACTGATAACATCAATAACTTGGTGCAACTTGGCTGTCTCTCTGAGTATCCGCAATCGACCTTCATTTATGTCAACAGCAAATAATTTACCTGACAAACAAGTAAAGCACTAGAGTATAGTGTTAAAGAGTCAGCAAACATAACTCTAATACATAAGAAAAGGTTAATGACCAGAATTGCTGGCCAAAACTATGAGACAATAATCACTGAAAATGCTAACAATATGCCATGCTTTAACAACGAATTGGACCAGTTATCAATAGTAAAAACAGAGTCTATCCAGTTGTAAAACAAAAAATACGACCAGCACCTCTTGATTCTGAAACTCTCAAAAGAAAAAAATAGATATACCAGGCATTGGACCTGTTACCTTTTGATTGAGTAACTTTTAGACAACAATATATAAATGCAGTTACTGATGGAACCGACTTGTTTGGGACTGAGGTTAGTTGTTGTTGTAGTGATGGACAAGGGAATATGTTGCTTGTATACCAAACACCATGATTGTCTACTTTTCCAGGATAGGCTTTTCTACCTATGTTTTATTTCATTATTGAATACACAAATTTAAATTCTGCATGTGCTATGCTCCTGTGAGAACAGATCTTTCCTTTAATTAGCTCCCAAAATATGTTAAAGGACATTTCCATGTAATTTCTGCTCTAAAAGCTTTCAGATGTCAGCTCTGATGAGCAAAGTTTGTATGAAGGTTACCTTGGCCATTCAAACGGGATGCCATGAACAAGGTTTTCCCTCCTGGAGCAGCACAACAATCAATAATGTTCTCACCAGGTTGTGGATCAACAATAGAGACTACTAATCCTGCAGGAATTAGGGTTGTTATGACAATGAACTCAAATCATTTTTCACTATCTATGATATTTTTACAGGTTTCAAACTCAAGTATCAACAAATGCATTATCTCAATGAGGCCATCACATTTGTAAAATGATATACAAGTCAACGACCAACAAAATGCCAATCCATTTTTTCAGTAACTGGACACTAGTTGCCACTGTATAGAACTTGTAGAAGGAAGTGGAGACACCCTCAAATTAAGCAAATAATAATAGAAAATTACTAACAAATGGAGGGCAAAGAGGGAATTTTCTTTTTCTTCGCGATAATATGTAATACGGTTAATTGATGTTTGAACTTTGAACATCCCTGTGAGGAATAGCTCAAATTTCTAGATTATGATCCTTGGAATATAGACATGTGAATGTGCCAAGTAACCAAAACAAATAGCTGAATCTCCTTCCTTGATCATGTTGACTGGGAGAGCATATGAAAACAACTGTGTTTACAAAGCTTTGTTAAACTGGAATTAACCCAGCCACGTCCACCCCCCTGCCCGCCGAAAGAATAGTTGTATGCAAAGACAGGGTCAAGGGATAACTGAAAATGCAAGGAATCTCTTGCAACATACTTAACTACACATTTTGAGCTCTATAAGGTGATTACCGGCACTTTCATCCTGGACTGCACAGAAGCCTTCTTTTAGTAATCCAGCCTGTATAACATTCTGAAAGAAACTTTAAAAAGTCAACGGAGCTGCAAAACACATCAGTTGCGTATACGCAGCTAAATTTAAACCAGGTCAAACTTTTAAAAGACATAAATATACATGAGAATACTTCCAATCAACATTATTTGATATCATCTACAACTCTACATTAAGTAAGTGATTTCGTCTCTCCATTTTTTCCAGCTACTTTGTCCATAACAAGAATCAGTACCATAGCAGAAACAGTTGAGACTAGCTTTTCTATTTCTTTGATCTGGTAAACCCCACCTGACAAACCCCTCCACTCAAGAGTCAATGGTGGTCCTTTTCCCAACTTGGTCCTTTGGTGAATCAAACCCCCAACCTCTTTGTTAGAGCCTTAGAGGTGAAGGGTCCTTTGCACTAGGTTATCCCTCACATGACAACAGTTGACACTACCTTTAAATCAAGTCTCTATGGTAATTTTGAGAACTAAAAAGTAACGGACACACATTCTGGTTTCTTTCTTGATAAGTAACTGAATGCCGATCACTAATGAAGTGACATATCAACATAGAAAAATCTATATCAATGTCATAAATATGTACATAACTACATACAGTAAACACACTTTGAAGATCTTATCAAGCTTTTGATCATACCTGCATTCCAGTTTTTAGACGTACAAAATCATCCAAGTATAGAGAAGGCTCATGTGGGACCTGAAGTTGAAGAAAGGAAACACAATGAATCATAGTAATACACGAAACAAATGCAGAATATTGCAGCATAATTCAGAAAATTTAATATGTTGGTCTCAGTTAGTGTTTAGGACACTCATCCTATTTTGTCAAAAAGCAGAAGAAGACCTCCATTATTATGGACTTCTATTTAAATCCTTAAATCTTGACTAGTGATGGATGATATCAATTTGCCTCTCTTTGGTCAACTAGACATTCAGAACTTAGAGTTTGAATAAGGTACAAGAGAGAGAGAGTCTAGAAGTGATCCTAAGATTTTATTATCAGTAAGGAACGAACGGCATCTAAATCTTACCTTCAACATTTTAAGCCTTGAGACGAGATCAGCCCCTGTCAAACCTTTCCCAGTATTTGCCCTAGTATTGTTAAAATGATTTGAACACAGAACAGTCACACTATCATCCAGAAAAAGGGTAAAAGAGGAAAGAAAAGTTACATCATATACCTTAGACTAAAACTGGGATAGCTGTTATTCCATGTCATAAGCTTAATAGCTGTGTCCTGTCCAAAATACTTTGTCCATCTTCTTACCATCCACTAGTAAACATAGGAAAACAATAAATAGATGAAAGATTAGAAAAGATAGTCATACGAATTTTAGTACTGTTTGTTTATGCTTAGCATACTATAATCTGTGACATTTTAAAGCAAAGTGAAAAAGATGCCTGATATGATTACCATATAATTGAAGTATCATGAAAATTCCCAAAGCGTGCAACAAAATGAGGGTCATTTTGACAAGTTCTTACAACGAAAAGCTAGAACTTAAGCTATATCCACAGCCCACAGGATTTAACCCAAGCATTATTTTATCTCCAATCAGAGTGATAAATCATAAGAGAATCTCACGGTACGGATAAAGAAATATATAGCAATGAAAAAATAAAATTTCCAAAATATAACTCTAGAAAATCTATTTGACACAACCATGGGTGTACGGGACATGTTGCTATAATATCAGACCTGGATTCTCTAAGACAAAAGATTTAAAGAAGAAACAGTTCAACCGTACAACTGGATGAGAGTAAAGAGTGGCAAGACCACGTGCTTGCTGACGATCATCACCATCCACTTCCACTGCCGGAAGGGAATCACTCTCCTGCAGACATGAAAAGAATCAGGGAACCAGTAGATTCCTTATTGTCAGAGCCTATATGCTGAAGGAAACATAGAAGACATACCTTAAGGACTGCTAGTTTCCTGAGAATCCCATTAACCAAGTTACCGGCACCTGGTCTAAGAGCAACTTTTGCGAGCCTTACACTCTGCAGTTAGATTTAAACATCCAAAAAGGGTACACTTACATTACTTTGCATAAAAGAAATGTTCACCTCATTTATCAAATTAAACAAAAAAGAGATGATGTTTATTTTCAAAGAGATACGAGGTGCATAAATGATGTTATGAATTTATCCTTTTTCATTCTAGGATGTTCAAATGGATGCTACTGAAATGTAAATTTTACTCATGAGTCATTTCCTAATGTAGCACCAAATATCCAATTTAAATAGAAAAAAGCAGGTGTAAGCTGCTGGCTGTATAGTAATTTGTCTCTAGCGTAAGAGATAAGGAAAGACTGCCAAAATATCAAGCATCTTTTTTTTTTCATGGTGAACCCCCGTCCCCCACCACCCCCAGCCCAGGGGTCAATAGTGGTTTTTTTCCAATTTTCTCCTCTTGTAACTCGAACTTCTAACCTACTGATTGAAAGTGGAGTGCTCTTGCATCTAGAGTCTAGACCAACCTCACCTGTCATCAAGCATCTTATCTTTCCTTTTCCCTCACTTCATTCAAAAATATGGCAAGCAAAGGCTCTATTGAAAGCTCAAAGGCATTACCTTGTTATACCATCAGCTTCATTTCTAGGTTCAACAGAATATAAAATCACATCCATCTTTCTTGACAGACTTCAAATCAGCTTTCATCAAACAACTTAGTAAAAAGAGAACAACCATTATAGACCAAAGTAATAAGATAAACATACCTCATCTACAACAGCATAAGGTGGCATGTCTAACTTGGTGATCTCATAGAAACCAATTCGAAGAATCTAACAACATTTTTAAAGCAAAAAATCAGTTGAGAGGGATTATAAATGACCAAGCAAAATTCAAAACTTAAAAAGACAGAACGTAGAAGGCAAGAAAAGAGGAAACTTTCAGGTCCGAAACATCCAATTTCCCAAGTGGTCCTATCAATTTCAAGCTCTGCAGTGCATGTCAAGGTCCATAGAGATGAAGTGTTTAACTCAAAGATCGTTGAAAAGTCAGCACCAATTAATAGGATAGACCGCCAAATAGCATTAGCATTTCAGCCTCTGAGATGTGATTTTTTTAGCATTGAGCATATACCTCATGGTGGATTTTCCTCGGATAATTTTTTTTTAAAAAAAACTTATCCCTGTCTATTTCAAAATAGAAAATAAATGCACTGGTAATGTATACTCTATTTGGAGTTATAACCATGATGACTATGACCTACCAATGTATACTAAACAAAACATTCTTTCACAATGACATTCTAACTCTCGCAATCACATTATGCTTGACACAACCTCATCAGCCAACATGCATACCAACCATTGTTAATACTAAGAAGACATATAGTAAATCGAAGGTTGCATTCTGTCATCATCACTCATTTACATTAATTTTGGTTCTAGATTTTTTTTTGAAACTGGTAAGGTTGAATTCTTCAGCATTAAGGGTATGCTGGCTACCTCCAAAAAGGGATAATTACAGATTTCCTATCAAATCTATAATCTGGTCTATATCATCTATACAAAGCTGTTTACACCAAAAAAGTAGAGATACTATACAATTCCATTTAACTTTGTGGATGGAATTGGATCTATCTCCAAAACATCTTCCATTTCTTTCTTTCCAGACTGACCACCATACACATGATGGTATTAGCTTCCACCATCTCTTTTGACTCTTACTGCCTCCCCTCCTAATCCAGCAGCTCAACAGATCTGATGTATGTTCTGGCATTGTCCAATTCATGCTTGTGATGTTGACAAACAAGTTCCAAATTTGAGCAGTAAACTTACAATGCAGGAAGAGATTGTTATTTGTTTCCCCTGTCAAGTTGCACAAAAAACACCTAGGAACAAGTTGTCTGCCTTTCCTTTGTAGAACTTCTTCTGTTAAACATGCTCTCTTTATCACTAACCAGGTGAAACACTTTACTTTTGTAGGAATGTCACTCTTCCAAAAGTAGTTCCAATTATATTTTGGGGGCCCTGTCATCCCCATTAGTCCTCTTTTGTAGGCATTGTTGACTGAGAAGACTCCATCCTTGCTATGTTTCCACAGGATCTTGTCTGTTGCTGTTGTAGTTATAATCATTCCAGCTAGTTTTTCCAGTACCGCTGCCACCCTCTCCACCTCCCAGTCATTAAGTAGTCTTCTTAAAGATATGTTCCATCCCTGTTCTGTCCAACAATCACTCACTCTAGCATCAGGGTTCTCACAGATTAGAAACAAATCTAGAAAAAGTTCTCTAAGAGAGGTTTGGTCTATCCAACCATCTTTCCAAAATTTAGTTTTGTTTCCATTACCCACCTTAATATACACATTTCCTTCCATTTGTGGCCATAGGTTCCTGATTGTCCTCCATACCCCCACCCCATATGGTTCAGAGGTGATTTTTGTACACCAGGGATTTAGTCCTCCATATTTTGCTACTATAACCTCCTTCCAGAGAGCTGCATCTTCCTCAGTGTATCTCCATAGCCATTTCATCAAAAGGCTTTCATTTTGCAGCCTCAAATATCTGATCCCTAAACCCCCTCTTTCTTTGCTAAGAAGAACATTCTTCCAGTTGACTAAGTTATAACCCTTTCCCTCCTTATTGCTTTTCCATAGGAAGTTCCTTCTAAGCTTGTCTAGTTTTTTCACCACCTTTGCTAGGATTGGAAACAAGGACATCACATAGGTTGGTAAAGAGTCCAGAACAGAGTTTATGAGGATCAATCTACCCCCTAGGGATAGGTATTCTCCTTCCATCTAGCAAGTTTCTTCTCCGTTGTCACCTTTTTGGTTCTAGATGGTTGATACAACTCAAAAATTACTTAGAAGGCATATTTGCCAATGCAATATTGCTTCACAAAGAAACTCCGCCATGCTACTCTTTTTCTTTTTTCCTTTTAATAACACATCAATGCTATTTTAAAGGAGTCTCTAACAATAAAACCATCAAATTCATGAGTTCTCCTTTGTTTTTGACTTAAATATCAACTTCAAATAGATACAATTTAAGAGGTTCTCCAATACTCAAACCATGGCAACAAAAAATATATTCCACCAGATGCTCTAAAAGTAAAGAATCCAAAAAGAGTGGCAAATATACCTGTACTAGAAGAGGTTCCATGCTTCTGAATGTCCGCTCATCGTGGCATAATGAAAGAATCAAGTGATCAAGATATCTTCTCCAGCGAATGGTGCCTCCAACAACCTCCGTGACCTACAATACAAACATTTCGAGAAGTCCATAAGGATGAGTGCTTTGATATTGTCAGAAGTGAATTCAAAGGACAATCAATGACATGGTAGTGAAGAGAAGGCAAAGAAAGAAACCAGTCTTAAATCTCTGTCGTCTAAGTCACGAGTACGAAACCCAAGAGTTCTTTCAACATATCCCATTTCATTATCCCCTGAACCCTTCCCTTGCTCGTTCAGAAGATCAGCAAATGCACCACCAAACTCTATACGCATCAATCTAACCGCAGACACTGTAAAATACAAACACGAGACATATTGATACAGATGACAACTGAACCATTCACTAATAAAAAAAAAAGCCTCACTTACACGCAAAACAAAATAAATTTTACAATTCCATTAGCTCATTAAAAGGTTGAAACTAGAGTAGATTACCAGCTCTATGAGGAGAAACTTCCAAATTCAACTTGTGGGTTTTCCTTAGGGGACTGCCAGAATCTTGACATGAAGCAGAAACATGAAGTTAGTCTTGAGGATTAAATACTGACTGTAAAATCAGGCAATAAGCCTAATTTGGATAACCTGTCAAAGTGTAAATTGGGCAAATGGTAGTCTCTGTAAACATTTTTGCCAGTGATGGTTTACCTGCAGGGCGAACAGAAGTTGCAGAATTTTGGCTGATTTTCTTTGGAAATTTCACTTGTTTACTGGAATATGATTCAGAAGAAGAAGTTGCAGAGAGCTTGGGAAAATGGAGTATCCGACCTGAAAGCAACGAGGGCATAATTGTATGTGTATGGTGGTCGGAGAAGAAGGAACACGCCGGAAAATTCCATATTTCCATTATTGTATCAGAAATTGACTGAATACTTCACTCAACTATTTGTAAAACTTTCAATATCTCTTCTTGATAAGCTTAAAGTCTTAACAACCTCTATGCCAATTTATGTTATGACTGTATAAATTTAAAAAATGTACTATTTTCTTTCTTAAATTTTGTAAATTAGGATGCAAAAAGTAATTAATATATGGATTATAATTAAGAGTCTGTTTGGAATTGCTACTAAAATCTGCTTATTTTTAGAAATACTTTTTCAAAATAGTTTTTCAGAAAAGTATTTTTGAAAATAATAATAATTTGTGTTTGATTAACTCATTTGAAAAGTGTTTTTGATTAAAAAAAAATTGTGTTTGGCTAATTTTTTTTTTAAAAATGTTTTTAAGTGTCAAATTACAAAAAAGGACAAGTATCAATGTACTTTTAATATGAAGATTATTTTATATATAGAAATCATTTTAAATATCTATTATAAAAGTTTAATCAAAGTTTTATTTTTATTGAATTAAATGTACATATTCAATTTTTCAATCAATAAAAATAAATGTATGATTAAATTTTTTGTAATAAATAAAAAAGATTAATATTGATATGATGATTTAAATATAATTAAAAATATCAAATATAAAGTAATGATAATAAACGTAAAATAATAAAAAGAATATTATATAAAAAATAAAATTCTTAAATGAATCTTTTACCAAACTTATGAGATATGCTATTAATTAATAAGGGATATATAGGGAAATATGTAAATATAAAAGGGATATTTTGGTCTTGTAAAAAATAATTTTCTGCTTCTGCTTATACTTCTTTTTAAGAAGCAAATTTTTTTAGCTTCTTTCCAACATCAGAAAAATTGTTTCTACTTCTATTTAAAAGCAGTTTTATTGATTTGTCAAACACCCTTAATTTTTTTTTAAAAAAGTGTTTTTATTTAAAAAATAAGTGTTTTTAGCCTTCCAACAGCAATGCCAAACAGGCTCTAAGGGTCATTGGTACAATACATAAGTAAAATAATTATGATATAAATTTTATTTAATGTTTGATTGTAATTTAAATTGTGTATTATTTTATACCATTAACGATATGGAATAACTTATTTAGATATAAATTGTACATAGATAAAGTAGCAAGAGAATAAAATTATGTTTATCTTTTTTTCTGAGAAATCCTGAAAGGTCGAGAATTCAAGCACGTAATGGTAAACTAATTACTTTTAAGTTTAATAAATAAATTTTATATGATATTTTGCATATTCAATTTTAATTTAATGAATCAAACAACCAACAAAAAATAACTTTTGTATTACTGATTCATATATAACTAATTTTTATATTATAATTTTAAGATAACTTATCTCGTAATCAAACACTCCTGAGTATTGTTATGATAGTAGTAATTGAATTATAATGAGATAAATAAGTAATAAGACTATCACATAGAAATGGTGTAAAAGGTCGATGCTTATTATGTTAGTTAATACCAATATTATAAGTACATATGCAAATCTTCACATTCAGGAAGTTGCAACAACACTAGACATCTTATATTTTTGGCTATATAAATTAATTGCACCTAATTATTAAAAAAAATTAGACTTTTTGAGTTGTTCCAACAAGGGGTGTTACGACTCAAAGTATACCCTAGGTGTAACATGACATATAGAACCCCGAGAGGTCCTACACAAGTCACTTAGCATACATCATACAAGATAATAGAATTTAAAGAATTCGAAAAGACAGTCTTATATCATAAAGAGTTTGACAAAAAATGTGAAAGTCTAACATAAGTCTCAAAGTCATCTAATACATCATACAAAAAGTGATTGGGACGTAACCCATACATCACATACAAGTATGAAATGAAAATGACATAAAGCAATAAAGAGTCTCGATCCTCGGAACATGAGGACTCACCAATCTCCAAAAGCTCAAGAAGATCAACTAGCCACGAGTGTGCGGAATTGGAGCGTCGGACCCTACATTAGTGAAACAATGTAGGCACAAGTATGCATTAGTACATGGAATATACCAAGTATGATAGCAATGCATAAGAGTTATGAAATCATGCTAAAAAGGACTTTACATGACATGCAATAACCAAGCTAAATCATAAAATAACTTGTTAGGAAACATAAGTCATAATCATGGTCAATGCAAACTAAACATCTTTAAAACACATGTGAGATACTTTTATTAAGTAATCTTAGTTCATTATTGTGGGAAGTTTGTCATTAACCGACATAGACCATGTGTCATTATCTGACATAGACCATGTGAGCTATAACATGAAATCCGATGTCTATCCCACACCAAAAAGAGATGTCTTTACTTGCCAAGGTAAGAACCATAAACTTGAGCTAAAGTGGATCCACTAGCTAATGTCTATTTAATACAAACCTATGGCGACACATAGTTATGGGACATGGGCAATCGCTGCTAGTCCACTCGGTGTTAAGCATAAATATCAAGGAGTAGTCATTAATCATATTCATCGTATTATCCATGGAAATGCACAATCAAGTAACCAATCCATGCTAGAGTTCATTTAGAATAACTCCTAAATCTTGATTCAAACTTAGTTGAGAAAACCTTTCAACCCTATCATGAATCCTTCATGTGAGAATAACCTTTCACAATAACAACATTGATGTTTTACTCTCAAAGCAACCTTAATCATTTATATCAATTTCATAGAAAGGACATGTATATCTTCATAACTTCATAATTCATGGTTCGTAAACTTAATCATATGCTCATAGTCTAAAATTCGTGGGGAATGCATGAGTTCATATGAATTTAACTCCAAAACATGTAATTACTTCAATACATGCATAAATGGATAAAAAACAATCAATCTGATCGAGATTGCATAGAGACCATAAACATTGAATAAAACCCTAACATTGATTGGGTAATCTAGCTTTGTAAAATTGGGTAATCTGTCACGATTCAGGCCTACACCATAGACGTAACTGGCACTCATGAACCATTTCTAATTCCCAAGCGAACCTTTGGCTTGGCTACATGACACTAAACAATACGCGAAAGCTTAAAATAAGTGAACACTTAGACATTTAAGAAAGTCTTAAAAATACTCTTGTAAAAATACTTAATATGAATCATGAGTTAAATAAAACATCCTGAGAAAATAATAGAAACATCTAATTCAGTCTGTCTATGAAGGCTCTAACAATGTAAGATAGATGTCGGGACAAGACCCACAATACCTCTAATACTACTAAGTTGGATGAAAATAGAGTCTCCCGGAAGTAAGGAGGCCTCACCAAATACTATCTGTGAGTGAATATTGATCTCAACGAAACACATGTTGATGATCCTGAGCACCTGTATCTACATCATAAACCGATGCAGGTCGAATGACATCAGTACATTGAATGTACGAGTATGTAAGGGGAAAACTAAAAGCAATAGCTAATTGAACTGACAAGGCTGGAAGAAATACTCATCTTAACTCAACTCAATACAAAACAACATAATTGGATCAATACATGAATATGAAGTGAAAACCATTTAAGCTTTACAATAAGATATACAATGAAAGCAACATGAAAATAATATATTTTACTTGTGGGGAGTTTCTCTAACCGACAACCATTACCATGAGCCTAGCAATGATATAACGTTTCGCCTCACGTTGCCAGATCCATCTTATACTTTGCCGGGGTATAGGATGTTATCGTGACTATAGATCCATCTAATTGGCCTTCTCAGAGGTAGTGAAGAGTCGCATGATGAAGAATCAATGTTATCATATCCTACTGTCACGACCCGAGAGCACCCCCAAGTCGTAACATGCGTATTCGACCTCTCGGAGGTCTCATACAAGCCCTTAGCATTCATCACATTAGATATGAAAAATAGTGCGGAATTAAAAACTCTTTAAATAAAATCCCATAAGACTCAAAGGTCACTTTTAAAAACATCATTCAAAAGTACACAAGCGGAATACTAAGTCTCTTAGCCATCTTAGACATAAACGTGAAAACATACTAGGGACACGGCCCTTTACAATCAAAAGAAGTCTATTAAGTCTATTACAAGAATCTTATCATAAAACTAGAATATAAAAGTCTTGCCCTCGACATATGAGGACATACCACAAAATCTAGGAAGAACTTCAAATCCCAAGTTTACTACAAAACCCGCTCACTTGCCGGAACCTACACTTGTAGAAAATAGAGAAAATATGGAATTAGCACAATTAAGTACTAAGTATGATGACCATGCAAAAACATGCTAAAAAGGACATTTATTTGAAATATGTGCTTTCATGCCATTTTTGATAAAACCTTCATATCACAATTATAAGAGACACATTTCAAATCATCATCCACATATAAGACAATACCCACATAATAGACACACTCAACTAGTACCAATGTACAATACATGAATATAATTGACAAGTAAGCCTTTTCATCATTTCATGACCTCTATCTCAAGTTACCCAAAGCCACACTTATGTGAAACATAAAGTGACCGCCCATACAATCTCTTTATATACACCTAAGTGTTCCTAAGGGTTACCATAGATAAGGAATGTACCATTACAATATAACATACTAAATCAATGTTCACATATAAAACCATAGCCAACCGTATACATACCCAACATATATTCATATACAACTCATGCTTAACTTTAAAGGAACACATGTCATTTCATTACCATAGGACCTCTACCTAATATAACCTTAAGACACACTTGAGTAAGACAAGAAGTGACCGCCCATACAACCTCTTCAAGCACACTTAAGTGTTCCTCAAGATTACCTTAGATAAGGACATTTCCTTTACAACATAACATCAATAGACCAACATTCTTTAAGAAACCATTTTTGGAGACATTCAAGCACATAAGGGGACTTTCACATAATAGTCGTTAGACTTAGGGAACTCACTTTAGTATCTTCAAAGCCTACTCGTGCCATGTGTAGATAGCATCCCATACTACTACCTACACGTTGTAGAACCTATCCAATAACTAGAGTG